TTATTTACTTGTGGCTGAAATTAGATAATTTCTACTCGTATTTTTCCACTCGCGACTTGATTTTTGCGAACTTCATAACGAAAAGTGTTTTATTTAGGTACTTTTTATAACGACGTTAGGAGGTTTCAAATTTGAATAATACATCGCAAGATTTCTTCGAGGACTCGATTAAATAATAACGAGTGGCTAGAAGAGAGAATACCCGAGCCAAAAATTCAAGAATTTATTAATCATGAGGAGAATGGTATGTGTGTGTGTGTGTGTGAGGACTAAAATTATTAATCAGGTCAGACATTAAATATTTTCAAGTTGACGAAGATTAAATCTAGCTGAATATACTTAACGTTCTCCCCCGTTATTAGTCGTAATCGTATTCACCGAAATAATCGTTCTTATTATTATTTCTCTTAATTTATCGTCGGAGATGAAATATACAAGGTCGAAATGTGCGACGCTGTCTAAATTGAGGACAAAAACTGCGGCTTACACTTTCGCAAACGTCACTCGAAAATGCTCCGCGGGATAATCTAAGTGGATTCTGTGGCCGACGATGATCTCGCATGTTTATTACGCAAATCACGCGACTTTCGCACCGAGATTAGAGCAGCCGGCTCACGAACGACGGAGAACTTTGCGAGGACAAATCGCGTCTCTCTCTTTCCTCCGCTCTCCTTTCTCTCTCTCTCTCTCCTTCAGGAAAGACCATCGGAAAGTGTTGAAATATGAACAGTCTCTCGCGAATAATCCTGCGGTTCTCCAAGATCAAGTTCTTTCGAATGCGAGCCATCTTGTAGCTTTGAAAGCCTTACAAGGCTCCCTCGGGAGTTTTTCAGACAGTTGACGAAGACTTTTCCACGAGGCGGTAACTTTTTGTGCAACTGGGATATCAATACCACCTACGCCGAGGTGCATAAACCAATAACAGGTGTATGCGTTTGTCTTTCCTTTTGGTACTCAAATATCATAATTTATTTATTGTTACGGTGAACCGTGGAATTATTGATCATCTAAGGGATATTCGTCCTTGGCATGTTTAATTAAAAGCAATATCAGTGTTAAATATATATTACGGTCCGTTTTTTGTCTCTGATTCTGGAGAGTTTCGTCTGAATAATATGAAAGATGATTCCAAGTAATATTGTTGTACGGCCCCCAAGCTATTCAAGCAACATACGATAAGTAGGCTAATCGGAGTCAGAACCGTGAATGTAGCGTGTAATTTAATCACAAGCTCTCGGGGGAATAAAATCTCTCAAGACGAGTGTATATGATTCCACCGGCTGAACATTTCTTGATCTTATTTCGCGCTCACTTTCATAAATGAATTCATTTGCAATGAATATTAATGCTGTGTCACAGATTGAATTAAAATATATAATTCTGATGCAAATATGCGCCCGAAAAATACGAAAGAAAGCAACACGCATTTCTGCTCTGAATGAACAAATTAACGCAATTTGTCAGGGGAATTTTCCAATCGTATAACGACATAATAACATACATCTGATAATTATACGAGGTATCGCGGGTAAATTATGAGTGGTCGTTATCTTTCGCACGGCGAAAACGTTTATCAGTTTATGTGGACCTCGTCTAGTCGTTTCGAGGACGTTTATCACAAAGGAGAGATCGAGGTGCTGCTCCATTCTATACGAGCAATATCCTTTCGTGCGACGCCGAAGAACGCGACGCTCACTCGAGCGACATCGAGATCACTCGATAACCCCTCGTTTTTCGAGCATCGCTCCCGCAGGATTTCTTCGTGGCGTCCCGTTTCTCACGCGGATCACGAAATCGCACGCGCTATCCACTCTTTCGCACCTACAGGATCTCTAGTAATTTAGTCTAGTAATTTAACTAACCATGAAAGATTGCGCGGAACAGGCACAAAAAAGGGATTGAATTACGCCGAAGAAAGAGATTTAGGAATTCCCAGACGGAATTCTCCTTTTCTATAAAGTCGCGAGTGATTTATATATATTTAAAAGTTTATATGTAAAAAGTTTCATTTATATACTAAAATATTACTCCTCTCGATGTATTAGGTGTACAAATGAATAATCCAAATTATTTTAAGCAGTTATGAAATCAATTTTAAAATGAATAGATTTTCCCGCTCTTTTGTGATTATGCAATGTTGACATATAGCTATTAAAAAGAACATATAGTTTGGCGAAAGGCCCAACATAACCTTCAAAAGTATTCAGTTCAGTCGAAACAGTCGAAAATGGCAACAGATAAGGTGCATATCCGACACTGCATTCTTTACGAATTCCAACAAGGAAAAAATGCTGCAAGAGCGTGCGAATCGATTTGTTCCTTTCTCGGCGAAGGTGTTGTATCGTACGATGTGTGTGCATTTTGATTCAAGCGGTTTAAAAGCGGTAATTTCAGTCTAATCGACAAACAACGCCCTGGAGGCCCTCCGAAGTGCGATAATGATGATTTGAAACAACCGCTCGCTGAGAATTCGGCACAAACACAAAAAGAGCTTGCAGAACAGTTGGGAGTAACGCAGCAAACGAATTCCAAACGCCTACATGAGATGGGAAAGATCCAGAAAGAAGGAAAATGGGTTCCGCATGAACTCACTGAAACTAACAAAAATCAACGAGTGGCAGCGTGTCTTTCTCTTCTCAATAAGCAGTGTCGAAAGTCTTTCTTGTGGAAAATCGTTACGGACGATGAGAAATGGATACTCTACTGACAATCCGAAACGCAGAAAGTCATGGGTAAATCCCGACGAATCATCAAAATCGGTTGCAAAATCCAATCGCTTCGGAAAGAAGGTTCTTTTCTGCATTTGCTGGGATATCAAGGGCGTGCTTTATTATGAGTTGTTGGAACCGGATGAAACAGTTACTGCGGACTGCTACCAACGTCAGTTAATCTGCTTGAGTCAAGAATTGGAACGAAAACCCCCGTATACTGGCAAAGGAGAACCTCCAGTGAAATTGTTGCATGACAAAGCCAGGCCACACATTGCTTCCAATACAAAAGACACCATAATGAGTCTTGGCTGGGACGTCTTGCAGCACGGCCGGCGTATTCACTAGACATTGCTCCATCCGATTATCACTTGTTCCGGTCGATGCAACACGCCTTGTCCGATATGCACTTCCAATCAGTGGATGAGATCCGAAAATGGCTTGACGACTTTATCGTGTCCAAAGACGTAACATTTTTCCGAGATGGAATTCATCAGCTGCCTGAAAGATGGCTTAAAGTTATGGAAAGCAACGGCGAATACTTTGATTGAACAATTTAATTTACTTTCTTTTAAAATAAACCTTGAATGTAGCTGAAAAAATTGGATTATTCATTTGTACACCTAATATTTTTAAGTAGATCGGAAGAGTGTCCATTTTTATGTGAACGATACCGAAGATGAAATCACGCGATTCGAAATAGAATATATCTTTTTCCTCCGAAAGGTTTACTTTTCTCCTTCACGCCGATTCTCTTTTCTCTTCTTTATATTTCGGATCTGATGTGTTTTCTTAATTCTTCACTAATATGCAAACAGATCCACGTGGAACATCGGCTACACCAACAAAAACGTCCCGATGTTAATGTAAAGTAGGTCCGACGCATTCCCAGCGGAAGTTCGTGGAGTCGTGTGCGAAACAGGCGCGTGTTATAACGTAACAACGAGGAGCAAATGAAAGAGCTGGTTGCTCGCTTCCTCATCTCGGCGTAATTTGGGTTAACCAGCAACTTTACACATAGATTAAGCATTATATGACAGGTCGAAGTTGGGTCAGCGACGGTAACATGTCGAGAAATAGTTGCGCTCCGTCTTGCGTCGTGGTGGGAAAGTGCGCGACGGTGTTCAGCAAAGTACATTAATTTATTAGCCGTCTATAGTTAGTAAGTTATTATCCTTTGGAAATTAAAACTTGATTAGCCGAGAAAGAAAGAAACAGAAGAAAAAAAGGAATCGTCGGGAAACAAAATTTTTCTACGGACAGAGAGAGAGAGAGAGAGAGAGAGAGAGAGAGAGAGAGAGAGAGAGAGAGAGAGAGAGAGAGAGAGAGAGAGAGAGAGAAAGCGAGAGAAAGGAAGACAGAGACAGAGAGTGAGAGAGAAAATTTGTATCGCGTCGCCGAGGAAGCGTGAAATGTGATTACGCCGGAAGTTAATACGCTTTACTTCCGCGCGATGTTACGCGACGCGCTGGTACTTTGCGCGCATTCGCGCTCGTTAATTATCACGCGCGCGCCAACACACGTGACAAACGATATATATCCCAGCGGGAAAAAATAATTAATCGAATAATAATTCCATTGTGCTTCGTTAAGAAGAGTATGATGACAAACCCACAGAGGGGCGCACGGACTCGCGTGCGCTGCAAGTCTAATACAGACAAACGATAATTGAGCGCGAGCTACTAATGGCGTAGCGATTATATAGATTCGATCGTTTCGACACGTTCGACGTCGCGCGGAGAGTCGCTCGGGAATAATCCGACGTCTTCTTGCCTCGCGCACACCTCGAACCAAGACCTCCCCAGCACACGTCCTAATTCATGTGTGTACGTGTGTGTATGCGCCCTGCTTGCGAGAATTGTCGCTGACTGTTGGCCTCGCGCTTGCTCACCTCCCTCAGCCGACGAATGGAACACCGGAAAGACCCTGCATGTTCCGCTACCTCTCCTTTCAACCCTCTTCGGTGCCGGAGGTATCCAACGAGTGTGCTTCCAGCTTTTCTCTCTCTCCCATGGGTCTTCTCTTTTCTCCGATCTGTTCTCCGATAGTATTTTTCCTCGAACCTTCCTCACCGTCCCCGCATTTTCGTCCTTCCTCCTGTAATCTCGCGGCCCGACCAGTATCCTCCTCGACGTCATCGTTCACGCGTGAAATCTCCTCAGCATACTTGCCGCACGCATGCTTTCGCTTGCTACCCTCCTCGCACGGCTCCTGCTTCCGTTAGCGCGTCATCCTTGAGAAGCCGACAAAGAAATTTCCGCTGACGAGCACCCCTTCTTCTTCTTTTTCCAGGACCGCGAGTTCGTGGAGATGGAAGTGCCGTACAACGGCGCCCCGAAGAGGCCGGGCTCGCCGTCACCCCTGACCTCCCCTGCGCACAGCACTGCCTCCAGGGGCGGCCTGCTGCATTCCTGCTGCGGGCGCTGCTACCCCCAACGTTACCAGGTACGCGGTCGGCGTATACTCGCCTCGACTACCTCCATAAGCGAGGGCGCGCCCTCGTCCTCCTCCCACTCTCACCAATCGCAGCCCGTTCGGTCGCACTATCAGCAAACCCCGACGGTCGACCCGGCGACCGTGCCGAACGTCGTGTTCAACGTGCCGGGCGACGCCGACCGGCAGCGTCGCCAGGGCGCGAGCTCGTCCAGCCCCTACAACGAGACCAGGGTGTGAGCCGGGGTGAGGACCGTCGAGGCACCCTAAATGAACCGGCGACGATCCTCGAGATCGATATCGCCGGCTGCACACGAGAGACCACGTGACCACGTGCATGTCGCGCACCCCTTGTGGTGATGGTCGCCACAAGGGTTCCTGTTCCAACCCCCCGAATCGTAAACTGTCGATTGGGATCTCGGTTCTTCGAGGACGTCGGCCGTGGCCGCTCGACGTCCTCCCTCGAGATTTTTACGCGTCGCTCCGACGACCCGACGACCAGGTGGTGGACCCCTCGCGACGTTCCGCAACACCCCCGTGCTGCGGCACCGCGACACAGTCTCGAGTTGAGGCGTTGACCGCTTCAGACGTGACGAAAGTATTATTTCTATAAGTTCTTCGACTCTCGAATCGAAGGTGAAGCGAGTCGATCCCCCGCGCGCGCGCGCACGACAGGTGAAAGCCGGACGAGAATGCAGCTCGCGGAGAAGTCGATGAGCGAGATCGATGGGCGACCAGATCACGAGCAAGGCGACGCCTGATGAGGCGTCTTGGATGCGCTCGGACGCGACGCTTTCGTCCGCCCCGGCGCGCTAATAGAAATCGCCCGTTTCCAGCTCGATGAACAGCTCAACGGTCGCGGCTCAAACTGTTTATTCCGATTCTCGGCCGCTCGGGCGGGCTCGTTCATTTCTCTCAGCCGAGGCTCACGGTTCCATCGGATCGCCTTTGGCGACAAAGACTGACTCGCGGTACGTTATCGCGAGCCGGGAGAGCAAGAAGATGGCGCGTGAGAGCGTTTCCGTTCCGCACCGCGTCGTTCGCAGCTCGTGACAGCCGAGAATGTTTAATCATCGCGTTGCGGCCGGCCCCGCCCGCTCGTTCTCTCCTCTCGGTGCTTCGCTCTGCGCCGGTTAACTTCCCGACGGCTAAAGCGTGGATTTAAGGAGATTAATGATATCGGCGGCGGGAACATAATCGTCGCGACGCGGCGCGGCGCGGCGCGGCGCGGCGCGCCCGCTCAGGCGGAATCTTTCGATTCTCGAGATGGGGCTTCGTCCAAAAGGCGAGGAAGTTTGATTACGCGGGTCGAGTGAAATCCGCGAGATTACCTTGCTCGTGGTCGACGGTGGCCGCGCTAAGTGATGAAACCCATAGTCTGTGTTCGGAGGCTCATCGTATTATATCGTAGGCTCTCTCGTTGCTCCATCCCGCTTCGAGATTGGACCTTTGCGCGCTCGTTAAGGCGCCAGTGCCGGCTCTTTACTTTCAACTGCGCCGCGATAATGAGGGTCTCGTTTCGCGCCGTGTCGTTCTCGCGGCTGTAAACGCGTACGTTGAGAGCTTCCGCTAATTTCCCATCGCTGCACGACGGTATTCCTCGAACGCGTGTGGAATACTTTCGCAATGTCGCGCGCGCAATCGCCTCTCTTCTCCTAATTGATCTCGAATATTTCGAGAGTATTTGATAAGAAGAGATATTTCGGCTCTTTTCTTTTCTTTTCTGTTTCTCTCTTTGTTCTTCTTCAGAGAAAAAGGTCCAAGCTCGAAGCTCGAAGCAGGAACGGCGCTCGGATCGGAGAAGTTGAGAGTTGGATTAAGGGAACAGCCGAGGAGAAATTTAATACGTATATATAATCGACCTTGTGCTTTCCCTCGGTGGTTCATCAGCGGATTAAAGCGGAGAAAGGGCGAATTCGAACGATAAACCCCGATTTGTCGAGGAGGATCCAGAGCTTCGATTTATTGTTGTCTATCTCTCTCCAGCACTGCCGCCGAGGGTTCGAATTCTGAATTGGTACTCTCAGAAATCAGGCGATAATCTCGATTCTGATCTCCCCACGAGGTCGCGGCGACTCCAATCGGATCTTGTATCACCGATGTTTCGCTCATTTGGTGCCCGGAGATTTATCGTCGATAATGTCCAGATTGGCAGACCGACCAGGTGTGACGGAATACGGCAAACATCTCGAGATCCGCTACGTTATACAGTTAATGAATTAAATCTCTAGGATTGCTCAGGTACGCATCGGCCAAAGGATTTTCTCGCGTTAATCGCGGCGAACTTAGAGAGAACTCCTCCCGTAGAGAGATAATCATTATTATAGGCGCTGCACAGTGCGAGGACGAAGTTTAAGAGTCATTATTTAGTCACTATTATCTTCTTGCCGAATCTTCTAAATCGATGTCGTAGTCGTCGAAGTAGAGTAATAACGCGAACGCACTGAACTTTCCGCTCCTCCCCTTCCCCTTATGCTTATTCTTGCAGTTATTTCATCGTTGTTATATATTCGCGCGTCGATTGTAATTATCGTTTGATTGATTTTATTCACGAGTGGAGTTGCAGATTGATTTACAATATGGTTTCACGCACGTCATGTTTCTCATCGATATTTATTTTGTGTCTCCGCCTATTGTGTCTCTTTTTTTCTCTCCTTACGAAATAATTCTCTTTTCGAAATGTCTTCTTCTTCTCTCTCCGACGGACGGAGTTTCGGAACTGGAATTATTCGATCGTCGTGCCCTCCTTCACAAAATTCGCCATCCGCTAAAACTTTACCGCCAAGGAAATTACCGCGATCGTAGCGGAGAGTCCCTAGAAAGCGACGTCTGTCATACCGAACTGAAAGCGCGTTTACTCCTCCCGGTGGCCCGCGACTCCTAATTTTCTCGAGAGTATTTTCCTTCCCGACCGGCGCGCGCCGCGCGATACTTGAGTCTTGATCGTCCCGAGCATCATCTCACGAAGATGAATAAAACTACCGCGTATCTGTCCCTCCGCGTTATTTTCTCTTTCATCTGTTTTCGTTTCATCGCTCTGAGTGATGGCTTTCGAGCTAAGCAAATAAAGTCCTCTCGCTGGGATCTCGCTTTTGCGCTGCTCGGAGAAAATCTCGGAGGTGCACGATTATCTGGCGTCTCGATCGGGATCGCGGCGATCTGTGACGCAAGTAGTTGCTTAGAAATCTAATTAATACGCTCGCACACCTTTTCGTATCGATGTAGCAGACGAGTCAATGCGTTTTCCGCATGACAGAAGCCTCCTGAAGCAGACTGTAACGCACATAGTTTCGGTATGATTGCATCGACTAATTGACATAAACTTATTATAATATATACGACAATAGGTGGAAAAAGCGTCATGCCAAATTCTCTTATCGCGAATATTCCATTATCCTTGTGCGAATATTGCGACACGACAATTTCGAACGCATCTACTTGCGCTTACGTTTCATTATTCTTCACTCAAAGCAGACGACAAGTTTCCAGGTTAATTTCCTGGTTGTAAACGATTGTTTTATAAATAGACTGATCGTTGCTTACGTCGGCAAACATGAATCTTGCCCATCGGGATTGATTCGGCACAGATGTTTCTTTTCTGGCTTTTACACGTGTTATAGCAAAGTAGAGGAGTGCGTTGGATACTTTACCGTTAGAGTACTGAAATCCCACTCGCGATAGAGTAGAGGCTAGCTTCGAAGGATTGAGCGTATTTTTCAACTTTCCTGAGACTGACTTTGGTTGAAGGCGCTCTCGCTTTTCGGGTGAAGTCGGGACGAACATTTCAACGAAATCTCTCTGTCTCGCGCCGATGGATACACACCGCGTAATATACGCGATAGTGACAGCCGATAGTCGGGCATAAATCAACACGCGAATCGGTCTTCGATGCTCCGCCGAATTAACGAGGGAAAATGAGAAGTGACGAACGATCCGATTGGCCGACAGATTGAGGACGAAACGTCATCGAAAGCCCGTTTGCAAACGCCTCCGCCTCCGTCTCGGCTTTCACAGCCGCCATTTTTCAACGATCCCACGACGGTGCTTCCACCCTTTTTCTCTGCCCCTTTTTTACTCCCTCTCTCCTGGGCCCGCTGCTAATTGTTGGATAATCCACGGTGGGGCTGTACGAGCGTGCTTTAAATCCTCATTACGCTCGTGAAATACTTGTAATGGCTGTTTCAGGTGAGAACGGCAATTAGGCTATTTACCTTTAACATTTAACATTTAATTTCGAGATCATTAGCCTAATTTTCATCGAAATTGTCTAATTGTTTCGCTTAGTCTTCCTTTGCTCTCGTTTACTTTGAATCTGTGCTTCGTCTCGTTGAATCTTTTGCTTTGATGCTTGACAATTAATTTGCGAAAGATTGCGTAAAAATATCGACCACTCGATGAAATTCAATGATTGCATCGGGAGCTTTCCTCCCGCACAGAAATCGCACAGAATATTTCTCCGCTTCTTCCTTCTTCCTCTTCCTCTTCTACCGCTGCTTCTACTTTTTTCTCCCCTTCTTCTCTGCTTCTTCCGCTAAAGCCAATTATATTTCTCGGTCGTGTTGTAAGTCGACGGAGAGATGCATGATGTCACTCTTGAGAACTTGGCTGTCTTCCGTTGAAAGAATTAGTGGCTTTCATGGAAGTGAAGCGCACGAGTCTTTCTCCTCCACACACCATATCGGAGATCCACGGAGGATCTCGAGATCCATTAGGATACCTTCGCCTTCCACTGATCTAGGACTTAGGAGCCAGATGCTCTCCTTCTCTCTCGATCACATTAACGACGCGCAACCCTTATCTCATCGAACGACAACTTCAGCCTCTCGATCCGCCAGTTTGGCGGATCTTCTTTTCCATTTCGATCGATTTTCTGAAAGTCTCAAAACGATTCGTCAATTTTAATGCTCCGTCTCGATCGTCTTCTGCGTGTCATTACACAGCCAATTTACACATCCCAATTACGTTGTAACAATTACCTCTACCTCTACCTCGAATCGAGACAACAATTTCGA